GGGGGGGGGGTTTATTCGGCTATTACCCTAATTCACTTTGCTTGTTCCTTGTTGGCATGTAACCTTACCAGGCAATAGGTCAATAGGGAAGAAAGACCCATTTGAATCCAATTAGTGTATACCTTTATTGTCTATTTGATGGTGTACGTGAGACCAGTGTGGACATGATTAAAATGTGAATAGATTGCTTTTCAATAACTATTCAATAGAGCATGTTTTGACCATTTGCCCAACCCAGCCTGTACATGTATTAAGGTGGAATCTGGCATGGCAGGTGCTCATGGCGGTAATTTTTGAATGTGTGAAAGATTTTCTCATTTTAACTGGTTTGTTTAATTCAGTAAAAAAGTTTAAGTATCGATAACATTTACTAAACTACCAATAGTTGGATTGTATGTATGCTTTGTCTAGACTAAACAGAAAAAGTGATTTAAACAGTCAAGTTTTGTTCATGGATGGTGTTCTGACGTTTCTTGTGTTTTAACGCATGTACACCCCTTTTATGTGCTACAGGCTTAGTAGAGCCAGGGCCCAAACCACAAAATTGTATGAAATTGCTATAAACACTAATATTAAAAATTCCATTGATATTCCATAAAAGTTGTTTATTGACCCTCATAAAACATTAATAAATAATAATAAAGGATAAAATACTTGACGATCCCATTATGGTGGAACTGTGGTAGTTAGCCTTCCAATTACTGAGTATAAGAAATTGCAAAATTAAGAACAAGTACTGTACCGATACTAAAGTGTTCAACTTTTCAATACCATTGTCCATTTTCCACTTAATAACCCTGTTGAAAATCGGTCAGATTTCTAGTTTGAAATACTAAATCTGTATAATCAGACATCATGTTCTGTTTAAAATAACATGTAAACTAGGTGAAAAGATGAACAATCTCACAACATTAGTAGGAAAAAATCTGTCGTGTTCAATGGGTGGTCTGTATAGAGGGCTAAGATTTGTGGCCATTTGGGGATTACTTGCCAAAATCAGGACTAAGCCTATTTATCCATGTCATTCTTTAGCTTGCAAAAGAAAAGATTACATGCTATAATTCAAGAAAATTGCCCCATTGTCACCACCCTTGGGATTCAAAGCCTTCCTGCATATTCCAGACATTTCAAAAGAAAATCGTTGATTTTCCATGACAACAGAGTGTCTGCTTGATCTTTGAAATCTTTTCCCTTGGGGTGAGGTTTAACGACTCTGACTCTGCTATCTCATGTCCAGGTGGCAATTGAAACTGAGTGAGTGCAACTGTTATAAAGAGTTATATGTAATCACTGGTTTAATTGTCCACAGTAGTCCAGTGGATATGTGCTGAAATTGTTCAGTTTGTGTTAAAAGCATGACACTTGGCAAACATATACAGTTTTATATGCTGATCAATTTAAGATTTGGAGCCACCTCAGAAAACACATTGATGACGTCATTATGACGTCATACTATCGAAAAAAATTGCCGAAGCCCTAAGAAGTTTCATATATCCCACAAGGGCGCATATGTACGACTGAAAATAACATTCACGCAAAAATGACAAAAAAGTGTTAAATATTTATCTGACCTTGGAGATTAATCACAGAGAATCAGCAGACGGGTTCAAAATGTTGTTACTTCCGAAACAAAA